GTACTCCTGCATGTGAACTGGCCTCTGGCCCTGCTCTTGTGCTCGGACTGTGTGGTGACTTTGTGATCCACCCTCAGTTTGCTTTGCTTTGCTTGACTGGTCTTGTGACCCCTTGTTCTCCCCCACTTTGCCTATGGGGGTGTGTCAAACATTATACATGTTATGCTTGTGTAGGCTACAGTGGGTTAGCCTATAGGGGGTACACAATTCTAGGGTTTTCTACTTGTACTCATTTTCACTTCTAGTTCATCCATTCCTGTTCGCTTATTCTTACAAGGACGACGCTTGCGGCTCTTGGGTTTGCTCCTTCGACTCCTGACATGTCGTTGTTTCTACGTACCGACACTTCGCTGCCGCCATTCTACATCCTCGTGTACATCGACGACTTGGTCTTTGCTACTGCTGACACTGAGGGACTAGCCCTAGTGAAGTCGGAGCTGCAGAAGAGATACATGTGCAGAGACCTAGGTGAGCTGCACAGCTATTTTGGCTAGCAGATCACCCGGTACAGAGCACAGCACACCATTACCTTGACTCAGCTACACATGGTGCAGCAGGTCCTTTAGCGCTTCGACTTCCATTACTCCTCGCCATAGTCCACTCCTCTACCTACCGGTCACTCGCTCTTAGCTCCACCTTCAGACGAGTCCGTAGAGCCGAGTGGCCTGTATCCAGAGCTTGTGGGCTGCCTCATGTACCTGATGACCTGCACTCGACCTGACCTTGCCTATCCTCTTAGCATCCTGGCACGCTACGTTGCGCCCGGGAGACACCGACCAGAGCACTGGAAGGCCGCTAAGAGGGTGTTGCGCTACTTGTGCAGTACGTCGGGCATGAGGCTCGTGCTTGGAGGACAGGGTCCAGTTGTCCTCACAGGTCACGCTGACGCTTCTTGGGTTGACAACTTGGCTACGCAGTAGTCGTCACAGGGTTACACTTTCTGCCTTGGCTCCGGCTCCGTTTCGTGGCGGTCTACTCGCTCGTCTTCTGTTCTCAGTTCCAGTTGTGGGCCATAGCTGCACAGGAGTTCCACTGGCTTACCTACCTGCTGGCCGACTTGGGAGAGCCGCCTCGTTCTCCTCCAGTTCTGTACGTCGACAACAAGGCCATGATTGCCTTGTGTCAGGAGCACAGACTGGAGCACAGGACGAAGCACATCGCTATGCATTGCTTCCTTGCTCGAGAGTTGCAGCAGCGTGGTCAGCTTCATCTTACTTGCGTGGCCTCTCGGGCCAACACTGGTGATATCTTCACCAAGGCACTTCAGCCTTGTGTTCATCAGCGTTTCTGTACTGTTTTAGGCCTTGTGGCTACTTGGCCTCACCTGCTCACTTCTTGACTTTGCTTGTACTTGCTAGGTTTTGATTATTGTACTGCTTGTTCTTCATTATATAACTCTGCATGTGAACTGGCCTTGTGGTTGTGCTCAGAGTGTGTGGTGACTCCGTGATCCACCCTGAGCTTGCTTTGCTTTTCTTGACTGGTCTTGTGCCCTCTTGTTCTCCCCCACTTTGCCTATGGGGGCGTGTCAAACTTATATGTTGCATGTTGTGTAGGCTGTAGTGGGGAAGCCCATATGGGGTACAACCCAATTTAGGGCTAGTACTTGTACCCATCCTGCTGCTAGTTCATTCATTCCTACTCGTTAGTTTCTGACACGTACTGCCCTAATGGTGACATGGCAGCTGACTTCCTTACGAAGCGTGTTCCTTGTCAGCAGTACCAACATCGCGCGAACCTGATTGGCGTGGTCAAGCGAGTCAAGACTTGTTACGGCCGGGAATGAGGGGGGGTGTTACCATAAGTGAAATATGAGTGTGTTGCACTCATGTTTGTAGCATCTTCGTTGGCGAAAAATGATAATTCTTAGCTAAATTTCTATGTCAAATGCTGCCATAACTATATCGTCTCATGGGTTGTTGGCGCCGCTGCCAGTTTTTGCACGCCAAGGCGCTGCCATCTTTTGCCAGCACAGTCCTTGCCTAGAGCTGAGAAACAAAGGGACGTGTAGTTACGCTCTTGCACGTACTCGGATTTGTGTGGTTCACGGCTCACATCGCAAATTGCACATCAAGATGGTGCAAGACGAGCCGAGGGTTTCCGGCACCAAGTTGGAAACATGTCTGTCTTGGTTATCAATTCCGTCCTCAATTCTCAATCAGACGAGCCCCTTCAAATTTTCTCGCTCCGACGACTTTTCTCGCTCGACATCACATTATTTCTAGTCATGTAGGGTAGTGCCAAATGTATTTGTTATACTACTTTGTTACATGCGGTACCCTAAGTTGGGGTTTTGCTACTTGTACACATCTCCTTCATTCAGAGCACACATTCTGCTTATGAAATGGTATCGGTTAGGTTAGTTCCAGACTTCCGCTCACCATCACCTAGCCTAGCCTGCCACGCACGTCGCCCCTAGATTGCCTCCTAGACCGCCCGCCAGCTCTAGCGCGGCCAGCCAGCCTTAGCATGGCCAGCCGGCCCTAGCACCAGCATGCCAACCAGCCCTAGCGCATTGCAGCGTGCCCAGCAGTGCGCACAGATACGTGTACATATGCGCAGCGGCGCGTTCACTCCTGCACGACGGCGTGCTGTTTCGAGAGTAACTGAACGAGAATGTTGAACTAGGATCATGCAGTAGTACAAATAGCAAACCTAAGATGTAAATGTGATATACTCATGATAGAGTAACACGACCTAGCATTTAGCTAACAAAAAAAAAAGGGGACGCACCACCATAGGCTAGGTGACGGACAGCTCAACAGCATGCACTCCAACCACTGAGATTAGCGGTTACAAGACCGGACAACGATAACAAGGAAGGCATGTAATACAACCCATGGTGGTACAACATGTGAGCCTCTAGGAGAAATAGCCACAAGGCCAGTTCATATTTATGTTATCACAGCCAGGATCAGATATGCAAGGAAGGACTAAACCAAGCGAGGACATGCCAGAACAAGACCAAGATGCTTGCCGAAAGTGTGATGATCACCTAGCTGGAATGCCTTGGTGAAGATATCTGCAGTGTTGATCACAAGGACCATGCGTGCCTGGCGACGCTCCTGCAACTCACGCAGCAGGAAGTACCACATCTAAATATGCTTCACCCTTCTTTCCTGTCTCGGCTCATGATACAACACGATCATGTCCTTGTTGTTCACAAATAAGACCAGGGCAGAACAAGGTGGCTCGCCTAAGTATGTGAGCAAGAAGGCCAGCCAACATAGCTACTGCGCAGCCATAAAACCAGTATAGGTCTCAGCCTCAGCAATCGACGAGGCTATACACGACGACCGAGTCGACCTCCACAAAACAGCTCATGTGCCAATGCTAAATAATTAGCCCTTAGAGGACCTGCGAGTCTCTGCGCAGTTGGCACAAGCCCCATGCCTGATGTAATTGCCAGATATCGCAGTACCCTCTTAGACAGGTTAGCGTCTCCTTGTCGACACAATGCGAGCAAGGATGCTGAGAGGGAACGCGAGGTTTGGACGAAGGCAGGTCATCGAGTACATGAGGCACCCACCAGTTCTGCGTACTGATCACTAGGCTCAGTGACGGAGCATCAGTTGAAAGCCGAAGAATGCAGATCCTTTGTAAGGAATTCCGCCGGCTGCTCAGTGGTCGGGATGTACTCATAGAAATCTTCTTGCGTTTCACCATCTGCACCAGCCAGATATAGCGATGCTCCTTTTGCTTGAGGTTGCACTTGATCCCTAAGCCTTCAGTAACCACGATGGTCGACTGGTTGTTCACGTTGAGGACGGTTGGTGTCCCAGAGTTGAGAAGCTGGAACTTGGCGAGGAGGAAGCGAAGGCGGCGAGCCTCCTTGCTGGCTTTAGTGGCATCGGTGTACTCCGACTCGGTTGACAAGAGCGTCACGCACTTGATGCGTCACGCACTTGCTGGCTTGTCCAAGAGACAGCTGCACCGCCAAAGACATGAAACGTAGCCATTTGGCTTGCTCTGCGTCTGCTTGTCGTCGGCATTTTTGGCATCCGCGTAGCCAACCAGACGCAGGGATTCGGATCCGCCGCTTAACTCCAGGGCGGCGTCGCGCATATCAGCCAGGTAGCAAAGCATCTGTCGACTTCAAGCCAATGCGGGCCTCTCCACGCCGTCAAGCTGAAGCCTAACTTGCTGCACGCGAGTCGACCTTCTGCCGATGCTCCTCTTCATCTTGCCCCTAGAAGTCTTTATCGTCAGATGTCAGTTTGGCGTGGGCGTAGCAAATTTCACGCAGGAAAAAAATTGCATCCACTCCGGCAGACATGAACATGACGGGAACCGCGAGGATGCAGCCTTTCCAATCTCAAAAACTTCCCGCCGAAACCACATTGGTATCAGAAGTTTACCACCCGCGATTTGAGAAAAATGGGATTGGGACACAAGTGTCCTCGAAAGAATGTGCCCTACATACCGTAACACTGGAAAATAAGCCATTTCCTTCCGTGAAGGCTGCGAATCAGCCTTCTTTCTTGTGGGTGGCTGATCTGATAGATCTGCATTCCTAAAATTGAATCAGATGGCCTGCTGGCATCGCCTTCGGGTTTCGACAACCCCGGACCCAGCACCCAACCTTCCCGATTCCGCCGATCCCGCCTAGTTAGCCTTTCGCTATATCTGTGCTAAAGGCTTCATTATTCTGACAGCAGTTGTAATTTCTTCTACGGTATCAAATTTTGCGCAACCTTGACAATTTATGAAGCCATTTACTTTGATGTCAGGCTTTCGGTTTTCTGTTTTCTTTATGCAGGCATTCATGTTTTTTTCAGGCAATGTGCTTCAGATGTCCCCTTCTCCAGAATTACCATTACACGCTTATGGCCAAACAAGGCAATGAGCGAGCGTAGTGCCAATATCACACTATCCATTCGTCACCTCCCATATTACAGTCTCTCCGCAATCATCACTGCCACACCATATTTCAACGCCCCTTGCTGCTTCACGAATCACAACCCGTCACCTTTCTTCACCGCTCTTCACCGCTCGTCACCTCACCGCTTGACCTCCCTAATGGGCAGCTCCTTGGCGCCTAGAGTGGAGTCGGCGAGTGAGTGGAAGCAGAGGTACGGTGAGACCAGGTCGTTGCACTGGGGGTTGGGGGAAGGGGAGGGAGAGAGGTGGGGAAAATGGGGGGGAGTAGGTTGTGGGGTATACGGGAGCACAGCAAGTTGGGAAGGGCATCGGCAAGAAAGTGGAAGCAGAGATACGGTGAGACCAGGTCGTTCACTGGGTGGTTGAGGAGGGAGACAAAGGCAGGGGAGAGCAAGAGAGAGCGCTGGAAAAGATGAAGAGGGGAGGTGAGATGGGAGAGATGAGAAAGGAGGAGAATTGAGAACAGAGGTGGGAGAACAGAGGTGGGAGAGAAATCGAGGTGCAAGGTGATAGTGAGAGGAGGGGCATGAGTCAGGGGGAGGAAGGAAGTGTGCAAAAGGAGGAGCATATTTGTAAAACTTCTGAAATTTACCAAAAGTGACATGTTGACATGGTGCAAAAGGAGCATGTTGACATGGTGCATTCCAGTCACATTCGAGAGTTCTCGAGACTGAGGAGAAACGCAGGTGGATGTGCAATATGATTCCGTACGTGAGGAAAAACGCAGAACGATAGGTGCAAGAATGCTCTGACCAGGAGCAGCGGAGAGGGCAGGTGGAGGTGTAGAATGAGGAGGATTGAACTTACTAGGAGCAGCGGAGAAGGCAGGTGGAGGTGCGAGATGAGGAGAGTGTCGACGTGGTGCATGCGGGCGAGTGGTAGTGGCGCCACCACGTGTGCCACTCCCCTGCTGGCTTCCACCCCCCTCACCACGCCTGGTGGTGGGGACGATGAGAACAGTCATCAAGAGGGGTGGCATTGTGGGCTGGGCAGCAGGACGAAGAGTGCATGGAGCAGCGAGAGGGCAGACAGAGCATGCATATGTGTCGCCACACCACAGCCCCGCAACCATCCATGCCCCTGAACACGTCTGGTGCTGGTGATGATGAGTCGGGTCATAATAACGGTCATAAGCACTGACGGTGAGAGAGATTCGGGTGCAGTGAGAGTGCAGAGAGCATATCATCTATCCACGTAGGAAGAGGAGAGAGGGGGGGGGGGGGGGAAGGGGTGCAATGGGAGTGCACGCCATGGTATGATATGAATGAAGGGTGGTGGAGAGTGTGGGATAGCAGAGGGGTGGGGCAGTACCGAAGGAGAGGCAGGGCAGGAGAGCGGCTTCCTGGGGGTTCCAAACCACATGTGGGAAGCCTGGCGCCGCCCCTGCTGCTGCTCCTGGTTCTGCTCCTGGCACTGCTGATGTGTTGTTCTCTGCTGCTGCAGCTGGGTCTGTTGCTATGTCCATCTCCGCTGCTGCTGCATCAGTTGCTGCTTCTGCTGCTTCTGGTGGTGGTGCTGGTGGCGTCGCTGCTGCTGGAGTAGCAGCAGCATGGGCAGAGGCGGAGGGGTCAACGGGCAGGGAGGGCGGAGGCGGCAGGGAGGGGAGAGGGGGAGGGGAGGACGAGCAGAGGCCGACGATAGCGGCATTGAGGGCGATGAGCGTGTTGGCAGGGGACAGCTGTGGCGGGGAGGGGGGCAGGGGCACGGGAGGGGGGGGGGGAGGGGGGGGATTGCGAGGGTGGGAGGTACGGAGGAGGGAAAAGGGGAGGCAATTGAGACGATGAGGGCAATGAGTGGGTTGCCGGGGAACAGCTGCAGGGGGTAAGGGGTCAGGGGGAAGAAGTGGGGGGTTGGGTACGGAGGAGGGAGAGAGAGGGGGGGGTGTGAGGACGTTGAGGGTGATGAGTGTGTTGCCGGGAGAGGGGGAGGGGCAGGAGGGGGGTTAGAGACGGGGAGGGGATGGAGCAAGGGAATGAGGCGAGGAGGGTGTTGGATGGGGAGCAGAGGCCCACGATGGAAGTGTTGAGAGCTATGAGCATGCTGGCAGGAGAGAGATGTAAAGGGGGGAGAGACAGGAGGGGGCGAGGAAGAGGATGATCACGCGGGGCAACAGGGGAAAAGTGGGAAGAAATGAGGAGTTGAGGGGAGTCTAAGAAGGGAGAGGTACAAGGCCGGTTGACGGGTCACGTGCATCAGCCCACGTGCATCAGCCCACGTGCATCAGCCCACGTGCATCAGCCCACGTGCATCAGCCCACGTGCATCAGCCCACGTGCAGGTCCTTCAGGTCCACCTTCAAGCCCTCCTCATCTCGCCATGCCCTCACATCCCTATTCCCCCCTCACCTCGCTGCATCAGCCCCCCTAACCCCCCTCACCTCGCCATGCGCGCAGCCCACGTGCAGCTCCCCCAGGTCCACCTCGAAGGGCGCCCGCCACGCCAGCAGGCGCGCACAGCGAGCCATCTCCCACTGCTCGTCAAACGGGAACAGGAAGATGGGCGCAGGGAGCGCGGGCGAGGGGCGCGAGGGAGGGCAGGACGCAGGGGGGGCGGCGGAGGAGGAGGGAAAGGTGGAGGAAGAGGGAGGGGCGGTGGAAGAGGGGGCGGTGGCAGTGGGTGGGGCGGGGTGGGGGGAAATGTGGCGGGCGAGCTTGTAGAGGGCGAGGCGGCGGGAGGGAGAGAGAGCATGGCGGATGGCTGCTAGCACCCGCAGACTGCGATGCTCGTGTGCCACCCGGTAGGAGTTGCTGGGAGGGAGGAAAGGGGAAGGGGAAGGCATAAGAGGGGAGAGGAGAGGGAGGTTGAGGGCATAGGGAAGAGGGCATAGGGAAGAGGGCATAGGGAAGAGGGCATAGCGGATGGCTGCTAGCATTCGCAGGCTGCGATGCTCATGGGCCACCCAGTAGGTGTTGCTGTGGGGGTCCTCCTCACCTCCCGCACCCCTGGTAGTAGCTCCCCTCACACCGCAGCCAGCCAGCACTGATAGACAGCAATGTGACGTTTCAGTCGCCTTGAAACTGCCCTCCCACCCTCCTCACGACTCACCTCACGCCAGGTCCAGCGCTGGCAGACAGCGATGTGATTGTGATTAATGACGTGCGCACCACTGCCCCTGCTGCTGCTCCCCCCTGCACTGCTGCTGCTGATGCTGCTACTGCTTCCACTCCCTCTCCTCCCCCATCTCCTCCTCCTCCCCCCCCCCAAACCCCTCCCCCAGCTTGTACCCCTGCACCTCCACCCGCACCTCCCACATCGCCCCCCTCCCCCTCCCCATCCCACTCCCCTCCCACCCCCCCGGCGCCCTCGCCACCGCCCCCCACGCCCCCCAGGGGCGTCATGTTGGGGTTGATATCCTCGGGGGCGAACCCCCCCGGCTGCCAGAAGTGGCCGGCAGGCAGGTTGTCCGCAGCGTCGGGTGCGAGCAGCGAGATGACGTGTGTGGGCGCCACGTAGCGCATCAGATCCACCAGAGCATCATACCCGATTCCTGGGGGAGTGAACGCAAGGGGGGATGGAGAAGGGAAGGGCAGGGAGGAACAGGGTTTCTACAGAGATGACGTGTGTGGAGGGAAGAGCAGGGAGGCAGGGCAGGACGGCAGGGAAGGAAGAGCGTGGGGTCAGGCAGCGAGATTGACTCACCTTTGATCCACCCGTGTGTGTTGATGACCAGTGGTAATGCCCCCGCCCCATGCCCATCGTAGTAGTTCAGTCGGAAGCAGTCGTAGAGCGAGAAGAGCTGCCGCAGGTACAGCGCAGGGTCACCGCCTGGGCTGATGTCGCCGTACAGATGGCTTGCCAGGGGGGTGCGCTGATGCAGTGCAGGGTGGCCTGTGGTGTGGGTGGGTGGGAGAGAAAGCGGGCAGGTAAGGGACGGAGGGAGGGCTGATGTCGCCATACAGGTGGCTCAGCAGGGGAGCCCTCTGGTGGAGTGGAGGGTGGCCTGTGATGTGGAGGGGAAGGGAAGGCAGCAAGGCGGCAGGGAAGATGGAGGAAGGGGGGCAGGAGGGGAGGGGAGGGATGGCTGATGTCGCCATACAGATGGCTTGCTAGGAGGGTGCGCTGCTGCAGTGCGGGGTGGCCTGCAGTGAGTGCGATTGGGAGTGAGAAAGGGGGAAGAAGGGGTGGGTGCAGGAGAAAGGGACGGGTGATGTCGCCGTGCAGTAGGCTCCCTGGGGGCGTTTTCGGATGCATGGCTACGTGGCCTGCGGTGTGGGTGTGGTGGTGAGAATGCATGGAGATGTGCCAAGGGAGGGCGGTGTGAGAAGGCATGACTGGCAGAATGTGAATCAGAGAAGGGCAAGGCAGGTGTGTACGTGGGCTGTGTGCTGACGCGTGAGAAGTCTGAGAGGAACAGCATGGCGAGAGGAGTACAAGTTAAAGGTACGAAAGGAGGGACCGACGGCGGGTGCGAGAGGATGGGGGAGAGGAGGATGAGAGAAGGGGAGGTGGAGGAGAGGAAGGGAGAGGAGAGAAGAGGAAGTACCAAAGACGGGGTGCGAGAGGAGGTGCAGCGAGACGATGCCGGGTGGAGTGAACTCGGGCTGCCCCACGTCCGTGTCCAGGAAGGCCACACAGGGGTGCCTGATGGGAGGAGAGTGGACGGTGGGGAGGGGTGGGAGTTGGGGTGAGGAGTGGAAGGGGCGGTGAGCAGTCAAAGGAATTCGGGCGGTCCCACGTCCGTGTCGAGGAAAGCCACACAGGGGTGCCTGGTGAGGAAAGCCACACAGGGGTGCCTGGTGAGGGGAGAACGGGAGGGAAGGGCGGGAGGAAGACGGGGGAGGGGTAGAAGTGGTGGGGGGGAGAGGGCTGCCCCACGTCCATGTACAGGAAACGTTGGGAGGTGGAGGGTGAGGGGAGAATGGAAACGTTGGGAGCAGGTGGGGGAGCAGCGGAAAGCGGGGGAGAGGTGGTGAGGAGAGGAGTGGCAGAGAACCGGGGAAGCAGGAGCTGAAAGGGATCCAAGTGAAAGCGTGCATGCATGCCCACACGCAGCACATATGGCAAAGGTCGGTCGCTTCACCACATGCGAAGCAGCATGTGGTTGACCACCCATACCTGCCCAGCATGTGGTTGACCACCCATACCTGCCCAGCATATGGTTGACCACCCATACCTGCCCAGCATGTGGTTGACCACCCATACCTGCCCAGCATGTGGTTGACCACCCATACCTGCCCAGCATGTGGTTGACCACCCATACCTGCCCAGCATGTGGTTGACCACCCATACCTGCCCAGCATGTGGTTGACTAGGAACTTGGCAAACGTTGACTTGCCAGTGTTCACGCCACCCATCACCATCACTATGGGCACCCGCACCTCCCCGCGCGCCCTCCTCTTGCTGCGCTTCCTCCCGCCCACCACAGAGCGCCCCGCCTCCTCCCACTCGCGGCTCACCACATCGCACCGCACCGCCTCCCACCCCTTCATCTCTGAGTTCGTCAGCACCCGCCCCTCCTGCCTCCATGGCCCTGCCGCTTGCTGCCCTCCTCCTCCTCCTCCTCCTCCTCCTCCTCCTCCTCCTCCTCCTCCTCCTCCTCCTCCTCCTCCTCCTCCTCCTCCTCCTCCTCCTCCTCCTCCTCCTCCTCCTCCCCCTCCCCCTCCCCCTCCTCCGCCTCCCCCTCCCCCTCCATCTCCCCCTCCGCCTCCCCCTCCCCCTCCCCCTCCCCCTCCCCCTCCCCCTCCCCCGCCCCCGCCCCCGCCCCCTTTCTTCCCCTTAGGCGGGGTCCACGAGAACGCCTCCCAAGCCCCACGGTCCCCCTCATACCGCTTTCCCCCTTTTTTCCCCCTGGCTCTACCCCCGCTCCCGCCACCCCCCAGCCCCTGCCCGCCCTGCCCATGCCCCCGGGGGGGCACTCTGTGAGTGTGCAGCCCGCACAGAAAGGCCGCCTGGAGCGGTTTTCTTAGCCGCCCCACATCTCTCAGCCTCAGCAGCGGTGTGCTCGGCTCCTGGGGGAGTGGCGGTGGGGGGAGAGGAGATGGGTGGGGGAGGCGTGGTGTAGATTGGCAGAGGGGAAGCACTCTGTGGGTATGCAGGCAGCCTGCACAAAAAGGCCGCCTGTAGCAATTTGTTTTGGCCGGCCCACATCTCTCAGCCTCAGCAACAGCTTGCTCGGCTCCTGGGGGTGGGGGAGAGGGGAAGCGGAGATGGGTGGGGGTGTAGAGAGGCGGAGCGGGGGCATACAGTGACTGTGCAGCCCGTGCAAAATTTGGGGTTTCCTCATTTGCCCCGCATTTATTTATCAGCCTCAGCAGCGGCGTGGTGGGGAAGGTGGAAAGGAGAGGGGAGCGGTGGTGGTGAGGCAAAGGGAAGGAAGGCACTCTGTGAGTGTGCAGCCCGCACAGAAACGCCGCCCGAGTGGCTTCCTTAGCCGTCCCACATCTCTCAGCCTCAGCAGCGGTGCGCTCGGCTCCTGGGGAGTGGGGGTGCCATGAGGGGGACAGATGGGCACACTGTAAGTGAGGGGGAGGGACATGAGAGGCAGAGGACGGGCACACTGTAAGTGTGGAGGCCGCACAGGAATGCCATCTGAAGTGGTTTTCAGCCGCCCCACCCCGTCAGCCTCAGGCAGGGTTTGGGGGGAGAGGGCAGCAAGAGAAGGCGGATAAGGAGAACGATAGAGCGATGGTAAGGGGATGAAGCCAATAGTAGGGGTCATGGTGGTGGTGACAGGGCATGGTGGTGACAGGGCATGGTGGTGACAGGGAATGGTGGTGACAGGGCATGGTGGTGACAGATTATCATCCCACTCGCTCACCACCACCCTCCTCTCACTAGCAGCCACATTCCCCCATGGAGAACCCGCTCCCCCACTCTCGCCCTCCTCTCTCACTCACCACTCTCCCACACCCACTCTCACCACTCTCACCAACCCCTCCCCACCCCCTCTCTCACCAGCAGTCGGAACGTGAAGTTGGCTGTGACTCTCCAATCCTTGGCCGCCTCTGTCGCCACCGTCACATCATCACCCCCTTTTTCCGCCCGCACTGCCTCCCCCTTCTTTCCCTTACTCCCATCCTTCCCTCGCTCCACCTCACCATCCCCCACAGCACCCTCTCCCACCGCACCCAACCCCAGCTGACCGGGTCCCCAGGACTGGAACAGCACCACAGCCATACCCTGCACGTCTGTGCGCCACCCCCGCTCCGCCTTCTCCCGCCGCTTCCTCTCCGCCTCCGCCTCTGCTGCTGCCTTGGCTGCCTCTTTCTTCTGCTTCTTCGTCAGCCTCGCGCCCTTCCCCCCTGCCCCTGCTTCCGCCCCTCCCCCGCCCTTCCCCACTGCCACCACCCCATCCCCTCCCTTCCCCCCCTGTGCTGCGTCTGCAGCACCAGCCCCCGCCTCACCAGTCACTGCAGCCACTGCAGTTTGTGCAGCGGCAGCAGGCTCAGAAGCTGCAGCAGCACCCACACTCACAGCAGCAGCACCGCCCGCAGGAGCAGAACCAGGAGCAGCAGCGGTAGGAGGGGCAGCAGGGGGGCCATGCTGGGCAGGCGGGGCGACGTGGAGCAGCACGGCGGAGGAGAGGGTGGCGTCAGCAGAGAGGGCGGTGGGGCGGTGCAGGGGCAGGGCGAAGCCGTGCAGAGAGGCAACGCCGTGCAGCAGTGTGACGTGCACGTGCCCCTCCACCACCACTGCCTCGTCCGGGAAGAGAATGGCCGTGGCGGAACGAGCGGTGCTGTGCGGTGGGGTGGGAGGAGGATGGGATGGGGAAAAGAATGTAGGAACAGAGATAACGCACGTGCCCCTCCACCACCACTGGCCTCGTCCGGAAAGAGGCAACGAACGAATGGTACTGCGCGGTGGGATGAGATTCAAAAGGGCGATGGGGAATGGATTCAAAGGAAGGGCGCAAGGACAGAGTGTGGGAACAGAGATAATGCAGGACGCAGGATGGCAAGGACCGTGCGGTCCAAGTGGGGAGTGCTCTTCTTGCTGCTATGCAGGAAGGAAAACATTTGGCCAGATTACAACACATGACCACATTTGCCTGGATTACAGCACATGACCACATTTGCCTGGATTACAGCACATGACCACATTTGCCCGGATTACAACACATGACCACATTTGCCTGGATTACAGCACATGACCACATTTGCCCGGATTACAACACATGACCACATTTGCCTGGATTACAGCACATGACCACATTTGCCCGGATTACAGCACATGACCACATTTGCCCGGATTACAGCACATGACCACATTTGCCCGGATTACAGCACATGACCACAATTGCCCAGATTACAGCACATGACCACATTTGCCAATCATCCGCACCCTTGAATTTTGAACCATTCGGCCAGCAACTGCCGGTCACACGTGCACCCACCACCACCACACTACTCACACGTTCACCCACCACCACGACCACTCACAAGTGCACCCACCACCACCAGGCCCACTCACACGTTCACCCATCACCACCGCCACTCACGCGTTCACTTGGATCCTGGCTTGCAGCGGCAGCCGCTGCGCGCCCTTGCCCTTAGTCTCGCCCTCCCCCAGCAGCACCTTCTCCAAGCTGCCATCCGCCACACCATGCGCCATCGCATGCACGCGACTCACCACCTCCCACTCCGGGTCCCCACCACCCTTCTCCCCACCGCCCCCTCTCCCCACACCGCCCACTCCCCCGCCACCAGCAGCCAGCTTCTTGAGCAGCTTCAGAAGAGCCTTCTGCATGCCCTGCACGCGCCTCTCCTGCCTCACCTCGCGCCTCTCCTGCGCTGCCTCCTGCTCCCGCACCACTCTCCGCCGCTTTGCATCCCTCTGCTCCGCCTCAAACCGCTCTTTCTCCGCCCGCCGCCGCCTCTCCTCCGCTCGTTGAGTTCTTGCTCTCAGCTTGTCTGCCTTGGCCTGCCCCACCTTCTCCTCTCGCTTCTTATGCTCAGCCTTCAGTGCTCGTTTCCTCGCCTTCGCCGTCGCTGCCCCCGCATTCAGCACTGTCTTGGTGCCTGCGCCTCCCCCCTCCGCGTCCCTCTGGCCCTCCCCCTCCCCTTCAGCCTCCCCATCCGCGCCCACCACCACGTGGCGGAACCACTCCTCTCCTGCCGCGCCCACCCCCGCCCCATCCGCCTCTTGACCCTCGCCTTCCTTGCTGCCACCCCTCTCCTCTGCCTCCTCCATTTCCTCCTCATCCTCACTCTCGCTCCCCTCTCTCTCACTCCCTTCACTGTCACTCCCTTCACTGTCACTCTCCTCACTCTCACTCTCACTCGCACCACTCTCCTCCCCCATCCTCACAGCGTCACTGTCATCATCCGATCGCTCCTCTCCCCCATCTGATCCAGAGTTTAGACCCAGCGACCCACTGCCGCTGCCCTCGCCCCTGCTGCTGCCCTCCTCCCCACTCGCGTCACTCATCACCACCACCCTTCCTCCCTCCTCTCTATCCCCTTCTTCTTCGCCCTCGTCTTTCCCTCCCTCCTCCTCCCGCTCCTCTTCTTCCCCCACTCCCTGTCGACCCTTGCCTGTCTCTCCCCTCTCTGCCCCATCTGACTCCGTTTCCGCCAGTTTTCCTCTTTTACCAGCCGCCTTCTCCTCCCCCTCTCCCCTTCTTGCCCTCAAGTCCCCCTCGTCCTCTTTCCCCGCCGTCCCCACACCTTCCCCCTTCCCCTCCGCTACCCTTTCCCCTTCTTCTCCCCCGATCACGCCACCTTTCTCCGCCTTCCCCTTTCCCGTTTCCGCATCCCTCTTTGTTCCCCCCGCGCTCACTCCCAGCCCCAGCGCGACCGTCCCCCCACCGCTCCCTCCTTGCGCGCCCTTTACGTCCCCCCTGCGCGCGCTCACTGCGCTGCCTGCCCGCCCTCCGCCCGCCTTCCGTGCTGTCCCCATCTGCTGTTTCCCCCCGCGCTTCCGCTTCTTCCCGATCCCCCCCGTCGCGCCAACTCCCCCCATTGTGTTCCCGCCCCGCGCCCCGCCTCTAGTGCTCCTCCGCATCCCTCCTGCGCTCACCCCCCCGGATCGAGTACCTTCCTTCCCCGTTTTCCCCGCATTCGCTTTCCTGGCATTCCCCGCACTCCGCGCGTTTCCAGCATTCCCCGTGTGCCGGGAGCTGCCCGCGGCCTTCTTCGCCCGCGCCAGCGCGCTTAAAAAAACCGACCGTTGGTCGGCGCAAATTCTGGTAGGCTAATTATTTCAAAACGGGCTGGGCAGCTGAGGCTCGTCTGAGGCTCGAACAACTAGGGGTTACTCTAGGGCTTTGAATGTTGGTCCTTCGGCCATTACAACTACCCTCTTCAAAAACATGTATTGAACGAATCTTTAGTAGGCAGGCCAAGAGATGTCTTACAATATATTACTTTTAAAAACAGCAGCCATTCTAGTGGTAGGGTTGTATAGAAACTTATCAAATTGGTATTAAATCGCAGGCCAACGGTTTTTGAAAATGAATATTCAGATTCTTTAGCACTTTTTGAAAGCAGAAGTAGAAATGGTTCGGGCACGTGCCTCAAGTTACAGAAGGAAAATTATTAACTTTGAATCATCATAACGCATAAATGTCAAATTATACGTACAGTATGCATGTTAAGCGTAAGGCACATAGAAGGGAGTATGTTGCGATCAGAAGGTAGATCGTGCCTAGGATCACCTCAGGACGGTTCGTAGAATTAGATTGTTGCAGTAAAAGATAGTGACCACAGATCAAAGTGGAATAAAAATGGCTGAAATAGTAAAACCGTGCAAGTACATTCGATAAATAAGAGTACAGGGGAATACGAAACTGTTACGATGTGAAGTTTTATGAGAAGGCATTCCTGTATGCTGCAGGATCCGACTCTCCGAGTACGAAGTTGAGGAGTCAGAAGAGCCGAAGCGACGCAGCAACCGTCAGACCAAGACCGATGCAGGCAGAAACATTTGAAGTGAAAAGAGCGGGAACAGGTTTTGAACGGGTTCCCGCGCCGCACGGTTTTGAATTCAGTTGTAATGAGGGAATGTATCCCTTAGAGTACATGGCTAGTCTAGGTCCTTTCATATTCCCTTGTACTCTTATATAAACTCGATGTATGCATGCTATTATCAACTCAGTCATTTACATTCACTCTGACTTGAGATTCAAACTTCCGCTGCAACACTACTCCGCGATCAATCCTGAGCGATCCTTTGCTAAGTCCCACTTGGGATTGTAACATGGTATGAGAGCTACTCAGGGATTCTTCGCAACTTCACTTCCGTGAAATTCGCCGAATCAAGACTTGGCGAGCGGCACACGCTCCAAGACCAAGATGGCCGGAGGATCCGGAGGCCAAGCAAATCTGACGGCTGAAGGACAACCCAATCCAGCTACGACAAGTGAGGCGACAACCACGATCGGCACTGCCGCCCTCGAGCAACTTTTCACTCGACTTTCAACTATGGAGAAAGAACTCCAAGAACTGCGCAAAGGCGATGCGGAAATCTCTTCCCAACCAGCACAACCTGGACAACGGCTGAGAAAAGCCGTGATACCGCCGCGCACACCTTCTCCCTCGACACAGACAAATCAGCAACAACTGCCCCCCGTCCAAGTGATGAGGCTATCAACTCTGCGCAAACACGTTTCCTCAGCGTTTCAAAGATTAAGACTACTGCCGCGTTTGACGGCAAGGATTTTTACACATGAAGTTTTGAGCTGGAGCTCCTCCTACAAACGGCGCAGATCTACCATTACTTCAACGGCTCCTACCCTAAACCGGTGGAAAACACTGACGTCGCCAGGGCTCAGTACTACAGTGAGTCCCTCATGGCTTACAATGTGCTGCTACGCAACATGACGCCTGCGGAACAACTCAACATACGCTCCTACAAAGAGAGCGACGCTCCAGCAATGGAAGCTTGGAAGCACCTCGTTGAAGTTTACAAGCCGAAGGATTCGGTCACCGCCAGCAGGCTTCTCCAGCAACTCCTGGAGATAAAGATGGGGCACGGGGAGAAGGCAAATCCATATATTAACCGCTGTCGCAACATCCGTGACCAGATCACGAAGCATGGGAGTACGATCTCAGAAGAGATTTTCGTCAATATAGTCCTACAAGGACTCGGGCCTGAGTGGAAGCCCTGCAAGGCGTTACTCCGACAGCGAGGAACAATTTCAGAAGCCGCGCTATGCGCCGCACTCCTATCCGAGCAGCAGGATATGGACTCGAGCAGAACAAGCTCCGCACCGCGCCGAGAGCGCCTCGCCTTCTACACGGACAACCGAGAGGCATGCTATTATCAACTCAGTCATTTACATTCACTCTGACCTGAGATTCAAACTTCCGCTGCAACACTACTCCGCGATCAATCCTGAGCGATCCTTTGCTAAGTCCCACTTGGGATTGTAACAGAAACGACCTAGACTAGCCAGGTACTCTAAGTGGTACATTCTCTTAATACAGCGAAGTCCAACCGTGCGACTCCATACGGTTACGAACTGTTTCGACAGAATCCTCGCCACTGCTGTTGCCTGATGCTTTCCGCTCTGACGGTCCAGATGCTTCGTAACTGTGCGCGACTCTTCGCGCCATTCCGTCTTTTCGTCTTCGTGCTTTTTACTGTATGACTCGGTTGCTACTAATAGGAAGTCAACTGCCATGTCACCCGTCGGGCAGTAGGTCAGGTAAACCTTGCCCTTGTCATACGGATTCTTTCCGAATTCATTCTCTGGGTTGACTGCTATGCGTACAGCCCGATTTTCGGACTCTGCACGTTCGGCAGACATCAACGATGCCGAGGCTCATCGCGTCGCCTTCGGCTCTCCGATCACCAACCTCGTCCCCCCGAGGTTCCCTCCTAGCTATGGTAGTGACTATATTAGCTTGTGCCTTCAATGTATTATGAGTAACGTTCAATCACAGTCTCGTTATTCGTTGTTCCGCGCACTCTCTTTTACAACTCATAACACTTGTCAACTTCGTCTTTGACGAAGAAGTACTGCAGCGCAATGTGCTTGGTGCGGTTGACGAATCCTGGCTTGTACGCGATCCTGATCGCGCTCTAGTTGTTGCAGTGCAAGCGGATGTGGGCGAAGCTGTGATTTTCGCCTCTTACAGGAGTTCCTGTAGATAAAGCCCCTCGCGAACTGCTGCTATCGCGGCGATGAATTCAGCTTCCGCCGATGACAGGGCTCGAGCCGGAACAGGAACTCGGTTTCGGACCGTAAATTGTCGGGATCAGTAGCGTGATCGGCGTCCACGTAGCTAGTAAGATTGAAGGACGAGGTTGCCACTGTTGAGTAGCAAAATCCGATGTTGGGCGTGGAGATGAAGAACGCGCTAAAGATCTAGAAGATTCCCGGCCGTCGGTTTGCGGGAGTACTGAGCCAGTTGGCTCGCGATGTACAAAAGATCGAGCCTACAGGTGACCGGGTGCAGGCAACCCGGTTGCTGCTGGCAAGTCTGAATCCCAGCAGGGGATAGGGCTTTGTTGTCGGATTTATGGTTCGGTCTAGGAGTGCGGTAAAGGGTGGAGAGCGGTGCAGGCGTGATGTTGAAGCGTTTTCCAAGTTCTTCTGTGTACTTGGCTACTAAAAGGTGAATGACTTCTGGTGCGTAAGAGATGTTGAGGCCGAGAAACTACTTCACGTCATGGTTGCAGGTGATGTCGATGCGTCCCGCCATGTTCTTCTTGAATTGTTCAAGCAGCTCGTTGCATGACTCTGTGTAGAGTAAATCGTCGACCGTAGACTGTGAGAAGAATGTAGTTGCCGTGGAATTCTCGGCGGTACATTCCGGGATCGTGAGGCAGTTGCTTGAAGCCTATCTCGAGTGGAATGTTGTGCATGTACTGTTGCCAGAGCCTGGTCGCCTGTTTGATCCCATAGAGGGATTTTCGCAACTTGCACGCCTTCACCGTATGTGTGCGGTTGCTCCAAGTAGATCACTGCATCCATCAACGCATAGAGGGATGCGTTCTTCACGTCGATTTGATGAAGAGGTAGGTGTCGCGTGGCGGCGATGGCGAGCATAATCTGACAAAAGTGTGGCGGCTGCCTGGCGCTAATGTTTGGTCAAAATTGATGTCGCGCCTCTGGTCATAACTGCGTATGGCCCAGGGCGCCTTGAAACGTTCAATCCCGTCTGCTGCGGTCTTCACGCGGAAGACCCATTTTCTTGAGGGCATGCGCCTTCCTTTGATTGCGGCACGGTCCACGAGCACCCATGTATCTCGTGATTCTAGGGCCTTGATTTCAGCGTCCATGGCCTCGCCCAACTCCTTGCTGTGAGGACCCGATAGTGCTTGTCGCGGGATGAGGTGGCGGTGTGGAGTCCTAGTAGTTGCAGCCCTGAGACGGTGCTGTCGTCGCAATGCTGGGGAGTTACTTCCTGCACATCAAAATCATCACTCTCTAGCTCAGGTGGCGGCGGCGTTGTGCCTTTGCTGCTTCCGCCGACAAATCCTCCTGACGTGTCTTCTTTCTCATTGCTGTTGTGGCGATCGTCTCTTGTAAATTCACCTCTGGTCTCCTGCTTCAGAATGGCTGTGATGGCTTCGTTCTCAGGCGTGGCATCGCTGTGTCCGTCATTAGCGCAATCGCGATTGGCGTTCGTCGCTGTGTCATCGCTGCGTCCCTTCCCCTCCCCCGATCGCGCCACCTTTCTCTACCTTCCCCTTTCTCGTTTCTGCCTCCCTCCTTGTGCCCCCCGCGCTCACTCCCCGCCCAAGCGCGCCCTTTCCCCCACCGCTTCCTCCTTGCGCACTCGTTACGGCGCGCGCGCCCACTGCGCTGCCCGCCCGTCCTCCACTCGTCTTTCGCCTTCCGCCCATCTTCTGTGCCCCGTCCCGTCTCCGCTTCTTCCCAATTCCCCTCGTCGCGCCAATTTCTGTCAAGATAGCAAGCAGGAATAGATGTACTATGAGGAAGTTGGTAACAAATAGAAACACTAACATTGGGTTGTACTCCATATGGGCTACCCCACTATAGCCTACATAGA